TCAAACATAACAACAATTGTGAGGCTGGTACAGACCCAGGCAGTGTTTTGTCATGTTGTCCGTGGGGTTGCTTTGCATCAGAATTGGCTCAGTGACACTTAACAATCACTTAAGTAGGATGCAGGATTTATTAGAAAGTACAGCATAAATTTTGGGGTTGGTTTTACTTTAATATTTCACCTCTGTATTTTTATCCTTCATGTTGTTGTTAAGCACCATCAAGTCATTTCTTACTCATAGCGACCCTATATAGGGTTTCCAAGGAGCAGCTGGTGGGTTTAAACTGCAGACCTTGTGGTTAGCAGTCCAGGACTTATTCTAAAGCACTACAAAGTTGTTGTTGTTAAGTGCCATCAAGTTGGTTCCAACCCATAGCAACCCTGTATAGGGTTTCTGAGGAGAGGCTGGTGAGCTTGAACCACGGACTTTGAGATTCAAACCGGCTTTGCAGTCCAGTGCATTAACCCAGGACCACACTAAGTAAGTTTGCATGGAAATCTATACCATGATTGGAGTCCTGGTGTGGCACTGTGGATTAATGTGCTAGACTGCAAGGTTGGTTTGAACCTCAAGGTCGGCAGTTCAAGCTCACCAGCTGCTCCTTGAAAACCCTATATAGGGTCACTATCAGTCAGAACTGACTCGACAGCACATAGTAACAATAACATACCATGACACAAATTTGCCCAAAGAACCAAATGCATTCCACTAAAATAAAATCTAAAATGTTTTTTTTAATTCAATAGTATGATAACTTTCGGAGTCCTGGTGTGGTCCTGTAGGATAATGCACTGGACTGAAAGGTCTGTTTGAACCACACTTAACAACATGAATGAGGAAGATGGCACTTAACAACACCAACAACAACATGATAACTTTCAGGATTCGTGATGTGGTGCTGTAGGATAAGCACTGAATTGTGAGCCACAAGGTCAGCAGTTCAAACTCACCAGATGCTCCTCCAAAACCCTGTCCAGGGGTGCTATGAGTCAGAATCGACTCTATAGCACTTATCAACAACAATATAAAAACTTTCAGTCCTCCTTCCCATTCCTGAATGGTTTTAGTATAGATCGATGGGACATGGTTGAAAATCCATCTCTATTTTGATCTCCCTGCACATTAAAACACACACACAATGACATTTGAGATCTAGTTGATTCCAATTAAATCACAAGCCCATGTGTGTCAGAGTAGACCTGTGCTCCATAGGATTTTTAACAGCTGTGGTTTTTACAAGTAGATAGCCAGACCTATCTTCCAAGTTGCTTCTGGGTAAATTTAAACCTCCAACCTTTGGTTAGCAGCTAAATATGTTAACCCTTTGCTCTACCCAGGGACTGCACATGTTGCTGGTATTATGTACAATCAAGGCTGTTTCAACTCATAGCAACCCTGTACAGGGCTTTTGAGTTAATGGGTGTGAACCACCGACCTTGTGGTTAGCAGGCCATTGGGTATCCTATAGCACCACACCAGGATTGCACATAGATGTGCTAAAAACCTCAGAATAAAAGTATAATGTGGTGCTCTAATGAGGCAGAGAAAAATACCAGGAAGACCCAGTAACATGCCAAGGGAACCATTCTGTGATATCTTACCAAAGACACAAGGTATAAACTTTCCTTCCATAAAAAATATGGGAGAAAGGAAAGATAAGCAGCAGTTTATTTTCTGCATTTGGAGAAAGGTTGAAGAATGGTTTTGGAGAATGCTTGAAGACTTTCTCCTTATTATGGTCTCCCGCTATTATTTATACCTTCTGATTCAGTCATATTAACCAGTCAATGAAGTTGAATAAAATAAAACTTAAAGCTTGGAAATTATTCATAATATAATTTAATTCAAGGGAGGTGGAGGAAATTGAGTATATTTGTTATCATGTTCGTTGAATAAATCTAGTTCTCTAACAGAACGCAGTGGCTCCAGAGGATAAACATTGGAGATGCTAAAAACCATCAGTCACTCTGCAGGAAAAAGATGAGGCATTCTAGTCCTGCAAAGAATTTAAAGCCTCAGAAACCCTATACAGGGTTGGTAGGAGTCAAAACCAACTCCATGGCACTTAACAACAACAACAGAATCATGAAGTACTTTTTTAAATAACTGGGTGATTTTATTAAATATTATTCAAGTTCTGATCTCACTGCACATAATTTGAGCAGCACCTCATACATTTGTGTACTTCATGTCTCATATTTGCTGGTGATACCTTAAATCAGAAATGCAGCACAGCTGAATCACCAAGGTCTTCACAGCCAGATGATCTCTTTCAGGTAGTTATCCAAGTCCATGATCACACCATTGTTTCTCAAAATTAAACACTCTATGTAGATTGAACCAGATTAGTTCATGAAATTATTTTAATCCTCAGGCTGGGGTAAAAAGCACTGGAAGATATTTCCATAGAGTGTAGAATGTGTTTTAAAGTTGTTTGTCTCTTCTACTGTCCCTTATTATTGTTGTTAAGTGCTATCAAGTCATTTCCAACTCATAACGATCCTGTACAGGGTTTCCAAGGAACAGCTGGTGGATTTGAACCTCCAACCATTCAGTTAACAGTCCAGTGCTTATCTTACAGTGCCATACTAGGACTATGCCTTGATCCCTCTTGTCAAGTTGTTAAGTGCCATCATTGTTGTTAAGTGCCATCGAGTCGATTCCAAATCATAGCAAGCTTGTATAGGGTTTCCAGCTGGTGAGTTTGAACCATCGATCTTGTGGTTTAAACTGACCTTATGGACTAGTGCTTTATCCCTGGTCCCTAAGAAAAGCCAATGCCTAAATTGCAGTAGAAGCCCTTACGTGGCACAAATGTGTAAAAACCTGATTAAAAGTCAAAAGGTTGGCAGTTCAAATCTACCCAGAGCAGCTTGGAAAACAGGCTTCCTAAAGGTCACAGCCTTAGAAACTCTTTGGAACTATTCTCCTCTGCACACTTGGCATCAACTCAGTAGCAACAACAACAAATTGCACTGAGCACCTACCTGCTCAGCATTCATTCACACAGATACATGTATTACCTTCATCTCCTCAATGCCTGGCAGATGTTTGCCTGATTAAAGGAACAACAGCTCAGATAGATGTAATGAAAAATGGCTACAAGATGGCAGACTTAGCTGTTTGAAGAAGATCCCACCTCAGTTGTTGTTAAGTACCATTGAGATGGTTCCAACTCATAGCAACCCTGTATTGGGTTTTGAGGCTGTAAATCTTTGCAGGAGCAGAAATTCTCATCTTTCTCCCGAGGAATGGCTGGTAGGTTCCAACCACCAATCTTGGGGTTCACAGTTCAGTGCTTTTCCTATAGAGCCACCACCCTCTCGTCACATTTTTTTGCGCTAGCTTTGTGATTGATTGTAGGGTTTTATATTTGAACACTAAAGAGACACAGTTGTCAATAATTATCTGTGTCCATGTGTGGCACTGTAGGAAAGCACTACCCCACATGGTTGGTTTGAACCACAAGGTCGGTGGTTCAAACTCACCAGCCACTCCTTGGAAGCATTACATAGGGTTGCTATGAGTTGGGACTGACTTGACAGCATTTAACAACAACAACAACAACAACAACAACAACATACATTATCTTGGCAATAAGTTGTGATTCTTTTTTTTTTCCTCCATAAAAGGCAGGTTGTATCAGTTTATTGTAGAATACAGCTTAAAAATATTTTGAGATTAACCTTTCCAGTTTAAAAGCACTTAAGTAGACATACTAAATCATTTATGTAATTGTCTCTCCTTCACCTGCCCCACCTCCACCAAATATTGTAAGTAAAGTTTTGAGAACAAGCAATCCATTTCTTGATATGAACAACCAAATGAGTTCATGCAAATGTATTTGCTTTGTAAAGAAACACCTTTTGAATTCTCAAAGCATGCATTGTTACTTGGCATTTTTGTTAAGTGCCCTGGAGTGGGTTCTGACTCATATTGACCCTAAATAGGGTTTCTGAGGTACAGGTGGTAGGTTTCAAGCACCAACTTTGTGATTCGCAGTCCAGTGCTATACTACAGTGCTATACCAGGCAGTTCAAAAATGACAAAATGTGGTTGCTTTTTAAGGCCAAATATAACACCAATGTACAAGACATACACATTACAACTAGAAAAAAATTACAAATTCAAATCAAAGTCATTGTGATTCTTACCTTTGAGATGCTAGTTTTCTAGAATTCCACTTTTTTAGTTGAATCCCATTTTTTTTTAAATGTTTTACTTAGTTGTATAGTAATTGGTTACTGTTTCATAATTATTGCTATGAAACTTATTTTTCATACCTAAGGTCGGAAGTTTACACCCACCAGCTGCTCTTTGGAAGCCCTATACAGGCTCCCTATGAGTCTGACTTTCTGTCGGAACCAACTCAACAGTTATTAACAACAACAACAACAGCATGTGATTTTGTTAAATCTACTCAAAATAGCAAAAGTATCACACTGAAGTAGATAGGAGTATTTGAATCACTTTGCTCACTTCATATCGATGCCCTACATATTGAAACTGCATTAACGTCTCCACCTTTATTTCGGATAAATAGGAGGTGATTCTGACAGGAATTAAAATATTTGCTTCCATATACTTTGTATAAAGAGTTGGGCAAGGAAATTAGTCACATAAGCAGTGTTAACCAGGTTGTGTGTCTAAATAACATCATTCAGAGAGTTTCCCTAATAAAATATATTTTGTAAATTACATCTATTAGTTAAACTTGCCTTAAGAATTTACAGGGAAACTTTTAATAGCTAAGTTTCTATTTACTTCCTCTCCATTTTTGTGAGAGAACATCTGTATTTTTTAATATTTTTGAATAAAAATTTTAATTATTACAGATTTTCCTTCCGTTACTGTGAATTTTTTCAGTTACCATGAGCATTTATATAGCATTCAGCTTTATTTATTTTATTTATTTATTTATTTAAGTAAAATGAGAGACCTGAAAAGTCATGTGTTTTTGTATACTACACTGGGAAATTTGTTTTTGTTGCATATTACAGTATTCCCTGATGGATTTACTATCTAAAATGGTGGTGGGCCAACCTCATTTTGTTCGCTGCATCAAACCAAATAATGACCGTCAGGCAAGAAAATACGACAAAGAGAAAGTGCTACTCCAGCTTCGCTACACAGGAATTCTGGAAACAGCAAGAATTCGAAGGCAAGGATATTCACACCGGATACTTTTTGCTAACTTTATAAAGCGGTAAGTGTATTTATTTTGAATTTCCATTTTGAGTTATATATAAAATTCTAAGAAGAATATAGGAAACAAAGTAAGAAAGAGAATTATTTAAGGGGTTAATGAGGAAAGCATTTTCTTCATATGGATTATTGAATATATAGGGAAAAAATTAAATATTAACTAGGGATAGAAGTTTCTCTTATCAGCTTAGAGACTTGTTCTGTTATAGCATCTGTCATTGCGATCCAGAGTCTAAAGCTTCTGTATACAGATATTAGTTTCTTGCCCTATTTCTACCACTTGTTTCCATGAACTTAGACCAGTAATACTCAAATGGGGATAACTTTGTCCCTTAGTGACATACTTGGTTTTCATAGCTAGGCTTGGGAAACTGGCATTTTTAATGAATAAGGGCCAGGAATGCTGCCAAACATCTTATACTGCACAGGACAGTCCCCAATAATAAAGAGTTATCTGGCCCAATATGTCAATGGTACCAAGGTTGAAAAACTCACAACACATTTTTCTCATGTGGTTTTCCTCATTTATTTTCAATAATTCTGCCATGACTGCCTGATAGGGTTGTTATAGGATCAAAAGAGATGTAGCCTTTAAAGGCAACTGAAAAGACATAGAGAATTAACTGGAGGAAGGCGTTCTGGTGTGGCACTGTGGGTTAATGTGCTAACCTGCAAATTCTTTTTCAACCTCAAAGTTGGCAGTTCATGCTCACCAGCCGCTCCTTGGAAATCCTATGCAGGGTTGCTTTGGGTTGGGATCAACTTAACAACAACAACAAGGTGTTCTTCTCAGTATTTAAAATTAGTGTACAATGACTTAAGCTATATCCTTGTTGTTGTTAGGTGCCATCGAGTCGGTACCGACTCATAATGACCCTTTGCACAACAGAACAAAACATTGCCTGATCCTGGGCCAACCACACTACTGCTGCCACGCTTGAGTCCATCAGTACTGCCACTTGGCCAATCCATATCATTGGGGGTCTTCCTCTTTTTCTCTGACCCTCCACCTTACCAAACATGATATCCTTCTCCAGAGACCAGTCTCTCCTGACAATATGTCCGAAGTATGAGAGACGAAGTTTGGCCATCCTGGCCTCCAAGGAGCACTCTGGCTGCACTTCTTCCAAAACAGATATATTGGTTCTTTTGGCAGCCCATGGCACTTTCAATATTCTTCTCCAGGACCATAAATCAAAGACATCAATTCTTCTATAGTCTTCCTTATTCATTGTCCAGCTTTCACATACATATGAGGTTATTGAAAATACCATGGCTTGATTCAGGCGCACCTTAGTCCTTAAGCGGACATCTTTGCTCTTCAGCACTTTCAAAAAGTCTTGTGCAGCAGATTTGCCTAATGCAATACGTTGTTTGATCTCTTAACTTCTGCTTTTGTGAGTATTGATAGTTGGTCCAAGAAGAATGAAGTCCTTGACAGCTCTAATCTTTTCTCCATTGATAAGAATGTTGTTTATTGGTCCAGTGGTGAAGATTTTTGTTTTCTTTACATTGAGATGCAACCCATACTAAAGGCTGTGGTCTTTGATCTTCATCAGTAAGTATTTTAAGTCCTTTTTACTTTCAGCATATCACAAGTTGTTAATGAGTCTTCCTCCAATCCTGATGCTAGTTTTTCTTCATAGAACCCAGCTTCTCGGATTATTTGCTCAGCAAATAGGTTGAATAAGTATGGTGAAAGAATACAACCTTGTCGCACACCTTTCTTAATTTTAAACCATTCAGTGTTCCCATGTTCTGTTCGAACAACTGCCTCATGGTCCAGGTACAGATTCCTCATGAGCACAATTAAGTGTTCTGGAATATTCCTACTTTGCAATGTTGTCCATAGCTTGTCATTATCCATACAATCAAAAGCCTTTGCGTAGTCAAGAAAGCACAGGTAAACATCTTTCTGATATTTTCTGCTTTCAACCAAGAGCCATCGGACATCAGCAATGATATCCCTCGTTCCATGTCCTTTTTCTAAATCTGGCTTGAACGTCTGGAAATTCTCTGTCAATGTATGTTTGCAGCTGTTTCTGTATTAACTTTAATAAAATTTACTTGCATGGGATCTCAACAATATTGTCCAATGATTTCCTATATCCTAAATGCATTTAGTAAAAGACTAATGGTGGTTTAAGTATCCAATACTTCATATATTTAACATTTTAAATGACTATGTTTCTAATAATTATCATTTCTTCTGTTAGTCGTTACACTTAAATACTTCTTCCATTTTCAGAGATTTAGTCTATTATCATTTTCTGGTGAAGCCTAGTTTATAGCAAATCTCCATATATAACATCCTCGTGCCTTTTGCAGAGTGTCTAAGGCCGTATTAAGGATAAAACAAATTGCTGAAATATTACAGTTCATGTGAAATGTGATTTCTAATCCCCACCCCCCAAATTGTCAAGTCTCAAGTATTCTTTACCTTGGAATACCTAAGGCCTTCACTGAACATTATTAGAATTCTAGTTTTTTTCCTGTAATTTTTCAACTTTTCTGCAACTCTTGATTTTTTTCTTCTTCTTCTTCTTTTTTTTTTTTTTTTTTTTTTAAGTGCCATGAAGTTGGTCCCGACTCATAGCAACCCTGTATAGGGTTTTCGAGGAACAGCTGGTGGATTTGAACTGGTGGCCTTGTGGTTTGCAGTCCAGTGTTGGTCCTACAGAGCCACATTTGGAGTGCCTTAAAAACCCTACCACTTTTTCATTATACAGAGCAAACTTTATAACTATAATGACTTTCATATTGGCAAATACCTTGTAGTGGTTTAAGACAAACTTTAAAGCCTTAAGTTTTAGAGTTCAGAATTACTACCAGAATTTTGTCTTGATTTCACTTCCTTCCCACAGACACAATTTTATGGAACCAAAACTAAGAAATAAACAATCCTGGAATTTCTCATTGACCAATAGGCTAATTTTTCATGCATCAAAGGAATTTCAAATTCCAAAATGAAATTAAAATGTGACCACTTGCATTTCGTAGTTTTAGAGAATTGCTGAGATAAATAATATACATACATTGTTGTTACTACTGTTGTTGTTAAGTGCCATCAAGTCAGTGCCAGCGACTCTATGAAGGATTTCCCAGGAGTAGGGGGTGGGTTTGAACTGTTGACTTTGTAGTTAGCAGTCCAATGTTTATTCTGCTATCCTACAGCACCACACCAGGACTCCATGCATAATATTGTTGTTGTTATCAATTGCCATCAAGTTGGTTTCTACTCATAGGGACCCTGTATAGACTTTCTGAGGACTAGCTGGTGGGTTTGAACTGCCAACCTTGTGGTTCAAAGTCCAGTGCTGGTACTTCAGCATCACACTGTAAATGTCAGGGTTTTTTTCTTTTTTGGGGGTTTGTCTATGTGTTTTTAATGTACAGACACTATACTAAACACTATGAGAGACAGAATTTTAAAACTGGCTTCATCCTCAAAAATTGAAAATCTAGTAAGGATGATAAAAATCATATAAAAGCAACACAATAAATCAAAAATATTAAAGCCCAAATGAGTGGTACATACAGAGTAAGTGTTCAAGGAAGGGATCGATTGTCTCCAGTATGAATTAGAAGAGAATTTATGGGAAGAAGAGAGTCAGACTGAGATCTGGTGGGAACAGTTTGTGGGTAAGACAGGAAAGGCCTTTCTCAATGTACAGGTTGATGTGTAAAAAGCTAGAGGCACACAGGTAGTCAGGCAAGATGAACAGTTATGAGTAGGCCAAAGGGACTATACTCATGACCATATATAGGTTTGGCAGATGATATTTCTACATACCTATTTGCTTGTGTTCTAAATATATCCATGTTTGCAATACAGCAAACAAGAGATACAGGCATGTAAACTTCTTAGCCATAATCAAACACCTTGAAGGAATAAATCCTTGGGTCTGGGCTCAGGACCATAACTTCAAGGTCAGTTGGCATAACGTAACACAGACAGTGTTCTACATCCTACTTTGGTGAGTAGCAAACGGAGTCTTAAAAACTCGTGAATGAACATCTAAAGTGCAACTATTGTTCTTTCTCCCCATTCAAAGCCAAAAAGCATGAAGAAAATCAAAGGCACAGAAACCATTAGTCCTTTGGACTAATGGGCCACTTGACTCCCAATATCCACAACCCTGAGATCAGAAGAACTAGACTATGCTTGGGTATCAGTGCTGACTGCTCTTAAAGGGATCATAAATGAAAGTCCCAGGTAGAGTGGAAGAAAATGTGTAACAAAACTCAAAATCATTAAAACAACAACAACAAAAAAAAAAAAACAGACTTACTGGTCTGACAGAGATCAATGGAACCTAAGAGTTTATGGTTGTTGTTATTAAGTGCTGTCAACCATGTATAGGGTTTCCAAGGAGCAGCTAATGAGCTTGAACCACCAACCTTGCAGTTCAAACTACTTTGCAGTCTGACACATCAGCCCACAGCGCCACACCAGGTGCTTGGTCACTGATAAGACCTGGAAGTAAACTAACCTCCATGCTCAACTTTCAGCCAAACAGTAGGGCTAAATGGCTAACGATAACATCAGGGAAGTACACACTCTCGTGAGAACAGTCAACTCATCAGAGATCAAAAGAGCACCATTTGCCCAGGGGCAAACCTCAGAAGAAAGGAAGAGACAGAAACAAAAGAAGAATGTACTCAGTAATCACAGGAAGGAAGTGGGAAGAGTGAGGTTACACCATGGGGGCTGCAGTCAGTGTCAGGATACAAATGTGCATGAATTGTTGAATGAAAAATCAGTTTGCTCTGTAAACTTTCATTCAAATAAGAATAAAAAGTTTATTGTGAAAAGACACAGCCAAAAGAAAATGAAATCTTCTGGGCATACTTAGGTTAGGATTTTAATTCTGATCCATAAGACATTTTGAGTTTCAGGTCACTATCCTTGGTGTGGCACTGTGGGATAATGCACTGAGCTGCAAGATTGGTGGTTCAAATTCACCAACCACTCCTCAGAAACCCTATACAGCATCACTATGAGTCAGAATCAACTTGACAGCATGAAACAACAACAACAACAACCTTGACCCACATCAGATTGAAAAACAAGAAATGTCATTCCATACAATGATGGAAAACTAGTGTTATGTATCTAAAAAAGAAAACAGGAAATCTCGAGACTCTGAACATTTTCAAAATTTATTTCAACACATTTTGGTCAACCTGTGGTCTCTATGGATCATTTTCACTGCTGTGTTAACTCTGCCTCCAGCTCAGAAATACAGACCAAGTTAGATCATATTGATACACAAGTGGCAGGTGCTTTTCTTCACCTGGAAAATGAACATCAACACAATACAGAAAGGGGAACATGAACCTTCTCTGTATGCCCGCTGAATTACAACTGCTCTGTTAATGTAGTGGTTACAAGTCTGGATGCTAACCTCAAGGTCAGCAGTTCGAAACTACCAGCCATTCTGCAGAAGAAAAATGAGGCTTTCTGCTCCTGTACAAATTTACAGCCTTGGAAACCCTATACAGGGACCCTAGGGAACAGAACTGACTCCACAGCACACAACCTCCACTACCACTAGCTGAGAGGACTTCAAATACTTACTTGATGATGACCAAAGACTATAACCTTCAGTATGGGTTGCATCTCAAGATAAAGAAAACAAAAATCCTCATCAACTAGACCAATAAACAACATCATGATAAATGGAGAAAAGGTTGAAGTTGTCAAAGAATTCATTTTGCGTGGATCCACTATCAACACTCATGGAAGCAGCAGTCAAGAAATCAAATGACATTTTACATTAAGAATATCTGCTACACAAGATCTCTTTAAAGTATTCAAGAACAAAGATGTCAGTTTGAGGACTAAGGTGTGCCTGATCCAAGTGATGGTATTTTCAATAACTTCATATGCATGTGAAATTTGGACAATGAATGAGAAAAACCATAGAAGAATTGATGCATTTGAGTTAAGGTGTTGGAAAAGAAAATTAAAAGTAGCATGGGCTGCTAGAAGAACAAACAAATCTATATGAGAAGAAGTACAGCCAGAATGCTCCTTAAAAGTCGTTATAGCAAAACTTATTAGTCTCTTATACTTTGGACATATTATCAGGAAGAACATCATGCTAGGTAAAATGGAGGGTCAACGAAAAAGAGGAAGACCACCAATGAAACAGATTGACTTAGTGGCAGCAGCAGTGGACTTAACTATTGTGAGGATGGCACAGGACCGGGCAGTGTTTCGTTCTGTTGTGCATAAGGTTGCTATGTGTTGGAACCAACTCAATGGTACCTGACAACAACAGCAAGCTGTGTTAGGGCTAGGGTTGAGATAGACATGCCACAGCACCCCTAATTTTGTAAGAAAGAGGGAAACAGTTTTGTAAGACAGTGGAACTGCAGCACAGCAACTCCTAAACAGGTACAAAGCCGCACTGTCCTTCCTGAGCCTGAGGGGGCCAGTTTCACATAGGCAGTAGCATAGTGACTTCTAAAAAATGAGACTAAGAAAACAACAAAAAACTATAGGCAACTATCTATAAACATAGTCAAAAGAACTGGGACTTGGAGTAGATCATGATTGGCAGAAGGTCAACAAAAGATAAGATGGAAAAGCCAGTTGGGTTAAATGAGAAAGGTAAAACTCTGAAAGTCAAGTTAAACATATTTCAGAACTATCCATGGTTTTACAATATGGACCATAAAGACATCTATACTTGTTACAAGATGGTATTGTAGTTGATAGTAGCTTACTTGGAAGGTCAGAAATTAGAACACATGTTTCAATGCATTTCAAGGTCTTATGCTATTGTAGAGGATCCCTGGGTGTCATAATGGTTAAGCAGTCACTTGCTAACTGAAATGTTGGCAGTTCATGTCAACCCAGAAGATAAGCCTGGTGAGCTACTTCCAAAAGGCCACCCCAAAACCCACTGCCATGGAGTGAATCCTGGCTTGTAGTGACCAGCCATTGAAAATACTAAGAATGTAGTTCTACTCTAAAATACATCGGTTACCACGAATCAGAATTAACTCAATGGCAACTGCTTTGGTTTGATTTTTGTGCTTTTGTATCGTAACAAATTACTCCTGGTGTGGCAGTGTAGGATGAGCACTGGACTGTGACCCACAGGGTTGGGGATTCAAACCCACCAGCTGCTCCTCAGAAACCTTATACAGGGTCTCTCTAAGACTTGACAGCACTTAACAGCAACCTGATCCATGATGAGGAGAAAATATTAAGTTCATGGAGAACTTGTAAATAAGTGTGCTGAATATAAGCAGTACCAGAAATAAAAGGCTAAATCTTTTCTTTGTCACTAATTTGAAAGTTGTCATCCAAATTGGCATGGAATTTTAGGAAAACAGGATGTTTTGCAAAGGTCCTGTGGGGATGTTAATAGGACTAAATAAACCTCCTAAGTCTTGCATTAGCCTTTGACTAGCTCTCCTAGTAGGATGCATATCTCATCAGACACTTTTCTCTGTTCTGTGGTACATAAACTCTTCTGTTGTGTGACAAAGAAACAATCTTAAGGGACGATTCACAACCTGAATTTACTTTGCACAAGAGGCTGGAATATTACTATAGTAATTTCAAATGAACCTTACACTATGAAGCCACCTAAGTTGGCTCCATGTTTCCATTAGGCACCTAGACTCAACAGTTGGGTTCTCAGAGCTGTAACGTAACCAGAACTTACTCAAGGCAGAAGTGTTGTGGGGTAAATCAATGTCTACACATGCTTTGAAATCAGAGCATCCAGGTGTGAATCCCACATCTGTCACCTACTAAGTGTGTGCCATTATTCAAAGTTGCCTATGTCTATAAGCTTCAAGCTTCAATTTCCTCATCTATAAATAGACATGATGATGATAGTATTTGCTTTATACATGCTTTGAGCATTCAATGAAATAATATATGCAATTTGTATTGATAGGCCAATGTCAATTCCCATTAATTATAATTATTTTGGTAGAATTAAGCACCTTCACCCAACTTTAAGATCATCTTCCAAAGACTTCATGAAGGTAAAAACAGAATAAAAGCTTTCTCTCTGCTTCCTGTCACTTTTGCTTTCATTGTCCAGAGAAAGGGTGTTTGTTTTGTTTTGTTTCTGAAGAACCCAACTAAGTTGTGTTCTGATTGCTTGTCTGGGGATGGGGGTTGTTTTTGTTTTGGGAATGAGAGAGCTTTTGTCAAGACTTCAATGTAAAAGGCTGAAAAGCAATTACTTAAGTGAAACGCGTTGTTCAAATTCACGTGAATAGACTGATCCAGACTGCGTCAGTCTGGAATGCAGAATAGCATCCTTGTGACAATGCCTTCTAGATTCCCCTGTCTTAAGCCTGGAGGTCCTTCCTCATCCCTGCACAAAGCTGCTCAGTGTTCAGGTTCCTGAGCCACTGGACCTTTGTACAATACTGTTGTTGTTGTTAAATGCTGTCGAGTCAGTTCCGACCTGTAGCGACCCTGTACAGGGTTTCCGAGGGTGTAAATCTTTATGGGAGTAGAAAGCCTCATCTTTCTCCTGCAGAGTGGCTGGTAGTTTCGAACCGCTGACCTTAAGGTTCGCAGCTCGATTCATAACCACTACGCTACCAGAGCTCCTTTGAACAATACTAATCAGCCCTTTTTCCCATTTTAAGGTACTATATTCTCTGCTACAAGTGGAAAGAAGAGCCCCCAGTGAGCCCGGACACCTGTGCCACCATATTGGGAAAAGCTGGTCTTGAACATTGGGCTCTGGGAAAAACAAAAGTAATGTTTTCATATAATTTTCAGAAACAAAATTTAATAGTCACATAGGACTTACTAAGAGCTGTAACATTTAACAATGAATATCTGACTGAATCTCTTGCTAAAAACAGGAGATTTATAAGTTCATAAAGGTTTCCTTCTTTATCAAAATGTAAAGCTTCTAATCTTCCTAAAGGTTTCTTTCATGAAATTCAGTAAATTTCATCTTGAAGATTCATTTTAAAAGGATTGAAACTTCATTTCAAGTAATGTACCTATTGACTATGTCACCCTCAAATACAAATACCAAAAAAAAAAACCTTTTAGAGAATTCCTGCTTTTCTTTTTAACCTCATTCTCAAATCTGCTTCTGTGGTAAATTTGACATTTACTGGGTAAAATATTCACTATTATTATTTGACTCTGATTTGGACATTAGTGTATTTGTATATAAGATTTGAGATTCTGTGAGATCTGAGTTTATTTAGTCCCTTAGAGAATGAACTAAAAAAGCATCACCAGTGATGAATACAGAAGTAAGACAGGTGGATGCTTAAAGAAAGATGCACTGGATTTCTCAGCTACCCTGTAGCACTATAAGATGGGCATAAGAACATGGTACCAGGTCTTAGAGATGCATTAAATGCATCAATGGCAGTATGGTTTGGGAAAAAGCCAAGCTAAAGCAAAGAAGTACTCAGAAAGTCATCACTCAAGAATAACTACCATTACCCACATCACAGAAGTCGATGAAAATGAACTTTCATACTTACAAAGAGATCCATATCTGGACATCATCTGTATCATGTTGGTAGAAGGTATAGGGGAGAGAGAATTATCAGAATGTATAGATGACGAGTTTGTCTAGGACCCACTTAAGGAATTTTTTTAATTACTCTGAATTTTTTAAAGTGACTATCTTAGATTGAGTATCCTTCATACACAGTAGTTCACATTTACTTTAAATAGATAGGTATTCTGTGTATAAAAAGGTGTGTATTTTACTCACACCATTTTATTTTAGATGCTCACAAAGATGAATTTCACCAAGCTGAAATCTTATGATTTATGGTCTGAAACACATGCCTAACTTCAAATGGAGTTTTAACTAGCAAAAAGGCCCTTTGCCATCACTGCTCTGTGTGGTATTTAAGTAGCATTTTAAAGTTATTTGTATTTTTCCACTTCACCTTTTCCAACTCATTAAGATGGATAAAAGTATTTAATATAGAAACATTTCTAGTTCAGTGTAGAAAAAAATGATGACCTTTTTAAACAGATTGAATTTTAAATGAATTGTCAACAGCCGAATGGATTAAATATATTAACATCTAGAATCCTGTAGGAATTAAAACTAAATTCAATCAGAACGTACAATGCTAAACTGTTTGCCCGTGGTGCCAAGCTTTCAAGCAATGGAACACTAAGAGAATTCTACCATTAGAGTTCCCAGGCCTCATGACTCTTGACTCAACTGTTAAATTTGAACTTAATTGACTTTCTTACTGAGTTTAATAAAATTCTTGTTGAGATGACTTTTACTAGTAAAGTTAGCCTTTAAAGAAGGGGGGAAACAAAAAAAAAAGCCTTATTTCTTTGCAGGGGGGTTAAGCACAGCTCTGAGATCAACTCAGCTCCGGGCCTTCAAGCTCCTTTCTTGTTCCAATAGATTGTGATTTTAGAATTTTCCAAAGGCAACCCTCCTTCCCTGTGGCAATCGGTGGGTCTACTGAGAAGCTGTTCATTGTTCATTTGCTCCGACAGTGGCCTCATCTCGACCCTGTTCTCTTTACTGACAATGTAATAAGTCCCCTTTGGGCAGTGCACCATCCCTTATTCACCTTTGTATTTCCAGTAGATAAGGATATAGAATGGGTCCCAGTAAATGTTTGATGAGTGAATTAATAGAACAATTTGGAAAATAGTATTGTTTTTTAAAAAAATGAAGTCCTAAAAATGAGCTTTAAGGGGAGTCCTGGTGATATTCTATGGGTTAATGCACTGGACTGCAAGGTAGGTTTTAACCACAAGGTTAGTGGTTCAAGAACTTGTGGTGGTGCTGTAGGATCAGCACTGGACTGTGATTCAAAAAGTCAGCAGTTCAAACCCACCAGCTGCTCCTCTGAAACTCTGTACAGGATCTCTATGAATCAGAACTGACTCAACAGCACTTAACAACAACAAGAAATGATTATAAGGACTCCTGGTGTGGTGCTGAAGGGTCAGCACTGGACTGTGAACCAAAAGTCAGCAGTTCAAACCCACCAGCTGCACCTGGGAAGCCCAATATAGGGTCGTTGAGTTGTAACCAACTCAATGGCTCTTAACCACAACAATGACATGATAATAAAACTTTAATTAAAGAGCTCAACATCCTCCACTTTTGTTGACCCAGTCAACACCATCTAAAGTTATCTGTTAAAATTAAACAGGATGACTACCATCTTCTTCATTCCTTCACAAAAGGATTTTCTTCAAGCATAAAAATCTGTCAGGTATGAACTTGACCTATACTTGTGGATGTAGTAGCTTAAAATACCAACTGAGAGGGAAGACATCTTCACATCAAGGATCATTCTCATCCCCTCTGTACACAGGCTGATAAGGATGGGCAACTTAGATATTAGCTACCTAAAATGGGGTGGGGGTGGGGGCTATAAAGGCACCAAGTGGCTGGCTTACAAGTTTTCAAGAGGGAGTTTAGTTTCAGAGTGTGCAGGGGAAGGTAGATTCCCCACTGAATAGTTTTTATCTTGTCTAGATGGGTCTGGTGAAAGGAGATGGGGATAAGAGTCTTAAGACTCAATAGTGAGTAACTGTTACCGTGACTAATTGTGATTGTCACAACTGTAAAGATAGAAGTTTTTTTTAACAAAAAGGGGAGAGTAGAGTAGTTAATCTTACATTCCAGGAACAGAAGACCCTAGGACCATCAAGGGAGAAGAGCACAAGCCAAATGTGGGACCCTATCCAGAGAAGCAGCGACACCAGAAGATGGAGGCAGAGATGATAACATGGAGAAGATAGAGCAGCTGAGGACTCTAGACTCAGGGAAAAAGAAAGGCTGTGTGCTGGCAGCCAGGAGGCAGACTTGCAGAATGTGCCCTTTGGTTGTTTAAATAATTATATATTCCTGAGTTTTGTGTACTTCCAGAAAACAAAACAAAAACAGAGGGACTAGGAGCAAACACTGTTGAATGATAATGCATGGAAGGGATTGTAATCATTGCGATGAAACAGAATATGGTAGGATGAGTGTAAAACTGATGTTCTCCCATGTAAAATATCACTCAATTCACAAAATTTATCGGGTAGCAATATCTAGGTCAATGAAGTAAAAGAGAATGATTGCCTAAATCTACAAAGACTTAGAATACTACCCTTACTTCATAGTATAATTCATGACTATTTCCCATCGGCGTGCCATCATTTTATTTATATTTTATTTTAATTCTTTTAAGGTGTTCCTTAAATATTATCATGTGGAACAGTTAAATTTAATGAGAAAGGAAACCATTGACAAGCTTATTTTGATTCAAGCCTGCGTCAGAGGATTCTTGGGTTCAAGAAGGTACCTTAAAATGCAGGAGAAAAGGAAAACAAGCGCTATGATAATACAGTCAGGTAATCAATCACCTGTCATCTCACAGTATTACAAAGCATCATGTTAAGTTTGTTGTTTGTAGATGCTGTGTGCAGAGTAGAACTGCTCCATAGGGTTTTCACAACCGTGACCTTTCAGAAGCAGATTACCAGGTCTGTGTCCTAAGCACCTCTGGGTAGGTTGAAACTGCCAACCTTCAGCTTCTAGTTCGGCATTTAACCTTTAGTGTCACTCAAAGACTCCTTCAATGTTATATTTAGATATAGGTATGAAATCAAATCATATAGTACTTCCTAGATACAAATCTCCCATTCTTATGTAGCTTTTGTGCTTCATTCCACACCAAATTACCTTGACACTTTTTCTTAACTAAATCTAATCATGTTGTTTTAGTGATTGGCACTTTTAACATTTGAAGAAATGTTTTATTGTATATTAAATAATTTTATTATAAAATGTTCTGCCAAGTAGTAATGAAACACAGCTGAGCTATTTTTGTAAGATACAGTGTGACTGACTTAATTATATAGTTCAAGAATCATTATTATAATTCATTTGACAATAAAGTTTTTCCTATTTTATTCAAAAGGTTACACTTGCCATAGTTTTTGACAACTTTATTAAATCTCATGTTGTTAAAGGGCATCCATTTCCTTCTGTTAACTGTAGGGAAATAATATTTATAATCGTGCTTCACTTTAAATTTCCATTAAAATTATTAATGGACTTTGAGTTCCTCTTTCTATCTTTTTATAAGAAGCTAAATTTAGAACCTAGAATGATTTGGAGGACTGTCTTCTAAAATTTTCTAACTGGGCACCCATAATAAAAATACACGTTTTCCTTCGTAACCTGATAAACATAGATACTACACTCTGGAGTTGTCTATTGTCATCCATTGTATTTCATTTTTAGATGGTAGATTTGACCCACTAAATCCATTTAATGATCAACTAATGGTTTATGGGGGAGCCTGGTGTTGAAATGTAGGATCAGCACCGGACTGCAAATCACAAGGTTGGCAACTCAAACCTATCAGCCACTCCTAGAAAACTGTATACTGGGACACTATGAGTCAGAACTGACTCAATGGCACTGAGCAACTACAGTGGTTTATAACCTACCTTCTGTGGTGGACAAAATGGTGGTGGTAGGTATGTGCCGTGGAGTCGGTTCCAACTCATAGAGACCCTGGATAGGGTTTCTGAGGCTGTAAATCTTTACTGGAGCAGGAAGCCTCATCTCTCTCCCATAGAACTGCTGGTAGTTTTGAACTGCTGACCATAAGATTAACAGCCCGATTCATAACCACTACGCTACCAGAGCTCCTTGGTGGACAAAATAGTGGACTAATATTCAAGAAATTGACCTTCCAGTCCCAATTCTATTTCTCAGTAGTATGTTATTTTCATTTCTTTTGGAATTTTAAGCCTTAGCGTCTCACCACCATGAGACGTCAAAATGCAAAGCCTGATAGTATCTAAGAGATGATCCTGTGTGCATAATTTAAAATTCATACAGCTCTGAAAGAGATGTCTCATAACTCATTTGGCAGTGAACTATGCCTTCATATAAAGTGAGGTTATTTCTTGTCCTTTATTCATCCATCTTAGTAAAATAGTCTATGTATTGTCTGCAAACCATCCAAGCTTAATTATGGGATACAAGATTCCAGCATCATCCATGTTATGTTATAGAATATATGCTACAATGAGTGTTACACAGTGCGTGATATTTTACTCTGGATTATTTTATATATATATATAAATTCTGAAATATATCTGAACTCAAAGATAATTGATCAAAAGGCCCAAATCATATACTTTAATAATAAAAACTCTCTTCTATGAAGAGCTGAATATGGCAAAAATGAAATGAAATGATTTACTCACAAATTCTAAGCAAATGAGTGCACTTTGTCTTGGTCTTCAACTTAGTCCATCTCTATTATTTTCATTCCTTAGTACTTTTCTTAATGTGAAAGTGCTTTAACTTTTATTGCTATAGCCTGTCATCAGGAAGAGTCTTATGGTCTTATGTTTTCCCTATTTTTTATGAACCTGTTCTAATTTGGGATTTTACTTCCATTTTCTTTGATTTATTGATGGTCACATAAAAAAGAAAACACTTGTTTCTATTCATTTGAGTAATGTTCTTTTACTTCTTGATTAACACTACTTTTACGTATGCCTTATATGTTTCAGCTGCAAGAAAACATCTAGTCAGGAAACAAAAAAAGGAAAATGTTCACACAAAAAACATAACAGTAAGCACCATTCAGACTCATGATCAGGAATTTGACTACAAGAAAATTTTTGAAAATGAAAGGTATCGTGACGTTCATTTTTATATCATTTTGACATGTAGATTTTAAAAATATGTTGGGTCACAGAGTAACACTCACAGTCTAGCCAGTTTCCTAAAACTGATACATAGGATGTCATTGAGCACCAGCTGTCACTTTGGTATTCTTGATCCTGTCTGCGAATTCATTGGCATTTCACACTGATGACATTTCACACTTTCCTTCTCAACGTTTTCTCTCTCTTGGTGTCTTAGTTACCTAGTGCAGCTGTAACAGAAATACCACAAGCGGTTGGCTCTAAAGAACACTTTTTGTTGCATAGTGAAGGAGGCTATAAGACTGAATCAGGGCTTTACGGTGAGGCCTATCCTTGTCAGTAGTCCTGGAAGCACCCAGTACTTCCTTGACATTCTTTGACAACTGTCTTCACTATTCACCACTGTGTGTGCCTCTGTGTCTCTTCTGCTCTTTTTATTACTTAAAAGTGACTCACTACTCCATGGCACATAACATAACACAACTCAGTGATGGCCTAATTAACACAACAAAGAAAGTCCTCTTTCCTAACAGGATCACATTCCAGAATTTCAGTACATAAATTTGGAAGACAATCCAATCCAATCCACAAATTTCAGCCAAATTGTTCTCTAAAGTTCTGCTCTACTTCCATGTGTCCTTTGCTAATTCTTTCCCCTCTACCCACATCTAAATCCTCCTCCACACCTAAATAATGTCCCTGGATGCTTTCATCCATTCCCAGGGCCTTAATAACCAATGCTCCATTGCCCCTTAAGTCATAATTACCAGCTGTACTTTATTCTCCTGAGCCTCCCTATCAAGTGCATGTTAGCATATCCCCTGAAGTCATTCATTCATTGGAGTTTATGCTAGGTAGTGGGGATTTGTAGATCAACGAAATCAAGTCCTTATACTCAAATTGCTCACAGATTCATTGGAAAGGAACAAGACCACTAAAGCATGATTCTAGTAAAATGGTTTAAATCTGTAATAGAAATATGCAAAGTGGGGTCATAGTGGAGGGAACTTTTCCCCTGTCGTACTCGGTAAGACAAACCAAAACCAAAACTGCCATCAAGTCAACCCCAATTGATAGCAACCCTGTTGGACAAAGTAGAACGCTTCATAGGGTCTCCAAGACTATAACCTTTACGGAAGCAGATGGCCATATCTTTCTCCTGTGGAGCCACTGGTAGGTTCAAACCACTGGTCTTTTGGTTAGCAGCCAAGTGTATAATCAGTATACCACCAGGACTCCTTGGTAGATAGACATTGTTGTTGTTGTTGTTAAGTGCTGTCGAGTCGGTTCCAACCCATAGCGACCCTGAACAGGGTTTCCAAGGCTGTAAATCTTTATGGGAGCAGAAAGCCTCATCTTTCTCCCACGGAGCAGCTGGTAGTTTCGAACTGCTGACCTTGAGGTTCACAGCACGATTCGTAACCACTAGGCTACCAGATAGACATTAAGGTAGGGAAAATGTCTGGCTTTTGCCTAAGTGGTAAAATTTTAATTGGCTGAGAGATGAATTAGTACTCTAGTAAGATAAAAACCATTCTAGTCTAAGTCTCAATTTCTGTTTTTAATGTTGGAACTAGACATGGCAAGAGTGAAGGAATGTTATAGAAGACAGATGGAAGAAGAGGCTCCCCACTACACACACATACAAGCGTCTGATCTTTTCTACACACACACACACACTCTACTATTGTTCCCATGGTTTCTTCCCCAGGTCCTCCCTTCACCTTCACCTGTATTCACTCTATATAGAACATATTGCCCAGGTCGATCTCATTTCCTTATTTGAAAAACATGATGTGTCTGAAGTGTAGAGGTATTTGGTGTTTTCAGTCCTTTCTGTGTGTATTCAGAGGCCTACATATATGGGTTTTTTCTTTGCTTGCAAGGATCCAAGTGGGAAATGGTGTTCTCCAAGTGGCAAAACAGTCCAGCAGATCTCAAGAAGGCCACATGCTGACCTCATGGGCAAATAGGCAGATGTTATCTGTGACTCCTATTTTTCTGGTGCCTGAGGGGAATGCAAACTCTGGTTGCAAATGGAAAAACTAATTTTCAAAATTATTGTTTAGAATACCTCTAGAAATTACTACTTATAGAAATTTATATTACTAGATATTAAAATTAATAAAGAAGTATGATGTTCTGTTAGCTAATTTTCTACCATCTTCCTTCTGAGGACTTGGGTCATCAATTGATTAACCTCCAAATTATCAGATATTTATTAAGCACCTACTACATACAAGATAGGAGTCTTGCTGTGGCATTGTAGGATAAGCGCTGGACAGCTAACCACAAGATCGGTGGTCCAAAACCATCACCTACTGCTTGGAAACCCTATACTGGGTCGCTATGAGTCGGAACCGACTTGATGGCACTTAACAATAATAACAACAGCGTACAAGATTTCTATTGGGGAACACAAGTGTAAAGAAGAAGCCATCTCTACTTCCTTCTCAGATGGGGAATTGGATGTTGATTGGACTGTCATAGAAAATAAACCAAAAGGTCAGACATAAAAGATGTACAAGCAGAGAATCAAGGAAAGTTTAAAAACTGGAGTGAGGAAGGTTGAGAAAGGGAGTGGTGAAGGGGCCCAGCTCAGAGTCCTTCTTGAAAACACTGCAAAAAACTAAACCTTTCCTATGGCTTTCCCAGTCCAAGATAAAAGGTATGTGGCCAAAAGCTCCCCAAGTAACAACCAGAGGTGTGGTATGCCAGGGTGTCAGGTTTTGATTTTCAACTCCACTTTAACACTCTTTTCATGGCTGGATTGCTCTTGTGAAGATGTTGCCCTTGCTTGGGGGAATGGGATGGGGCACTGAAAATATCTTGCCTTCAAGTTAAGGGAAAATCATTTGGGGAGGATAATGATAAAGTACTAGCTGTGATATACAGGGCAGCAATATTGCATGATCAGGAACTGTAGCAGTGACATGTTTTCTCTTGAATTTTCTATGGGAAATGGATATCTCCTGTGATCAGTAGACTAGGATCTTATTAAAGAACAGAATGTCAGTCTAGTAAACAGACCTTGTTTACTGGCCTCAAACCTAGATGCACTTTTCACTACATCTCTTCACCATCATTAGTTTGTTTGGAAAGGAGCATATTTTGAAAAGACTAAATTTCTTTCTAGGATGCTGATAACCTCACTACAATGATTCACATGCTAAGATATTTCCCAGTTTAGGTTGAAACAGATTTTCTCATTGTTTGAGTAGCCATCACAGTTGCTGCTAGTGAGAACATTTTGGGAAGTGCTTGATTAATGTGACTTGATATGTTTTTATTCTAAGATGTTTTATACCTTCTGCTATTCTTCCAGCATTACATCATACATAGCTATTGCCAAGAATTAATAAGCTTTAGTTTGGTATCATATATTCAGATGCAGTATATTTTACACAGGGAATCTTTTTTGAAGAAGCAAACAGAAAATGCAGTCTCTACTAAAGAAGCATTTGTTTCGGCTCCAAATAATAATGAGAGTACGTCTGCAGTGAAGACTTCTACTTTCAAAGCTGAGAAAGAAGCCATTAATGCTGCAGAGAGTAACAGCCAAGGATATCAAATGCTGAAAAAACTGAACACTATGAATGGGGAAGAAGCTGAGCAAGAATCATGCCTGGCAGGGGATTCTAGGGCAGAATTGAGCCCCAAACAGAAAAACATCAAAGACCTGGAAGAGGGCAGTAAAATAAGAAACATGGAGAAAGAGGATGCTGAGATTCAGTGTTACTGTCAAAGGTACACAGAGGAAAAACATTTCGAAGACTCAAAAATGGCATATTTAGAAAAGAATGGCACATCAGAAAGTCCAAACTCCTCAGGGCTTTGGTTTGCCGAGAATGGGACTAAGCAGCCTTCATTTAAAAATACTTTGGAACCTCGCCTTAGCCAAAGGTCGAGTTATCAAAATGCAAATAGCAAAGAAAAGGAAAAGAAGACATCTGTGGTTACCCAGAATGGACAAATATGCAGCCAGAAGAAAAGCCATCCAAGGCATGGGACGGTCAAAGAGAGGCAAGGTGATAAAATGATACAGGATCTAGAAGAAGAAGATAAAGCAGCTGTGTTCATTCAGAGCAAATACCGGGGTTATAAGAGAAGGCAGCAGTTAAGGAAGGATGGGGTGTCCTCTTCTTTTAAGAATCAAAAGATGGCTGCAGCAACAATGGAAGTAGCAGGACACACTCACCATTTATATTCCTGTCCCATAACACATGAGGGAACCTGTCATATCAACAGCAGAGATAACCAAGACACCAAAGCAATTTCAGATAAAGAAGCGTGTGATTTGGCAATTTTTTCAAAACAGGTATGTTTATAAACAATCTTATTTCCTACTAAAAAATTCTACGAACTATATAGTAGCTAAATTAAGAATTAATAACTGATATGTTGTTTTATCTGTTCTTATGAAACGCCAAAATTTTTCAATAAGATGTTGTTATCAAAGGGTATGTTATTGAAATAAGCATTAGCTTCTTAAGCCAACTATTTACCATGATAAATAGTATAAAATACAATCGTGATCTTATTTGGTAAGTAGATTAAGGATTGATGTAATAGAAGGTACCAAGCACAGCTTACTGATATTTGGCAGTACGACTTTTCACGTATCTGTGAAATCTCTCAACACAGCTAGAAACAAAATTCTAAAGCCAATAAAGTCTATGCTTTATCCTGGCCCCAAACTTCCCCCCCCCCCCCCCCCCCAAAAAAAAAAAAAAAACTCACAACACACCAACCCTCTCACTCTCTGGATCCACCGGCCCCAAACTTTATTTGAGAAAACAGTTATATGTGAAAAGTAGATAGATAGCCATAGCGAAGCATAAATGAGTATGTACTGAAAAGTTTATATAACAATGAAGAATCATAAAGAAAAAAACATTAAAATCCCCATTGAAGAATATCTCATATCACCAGTAACAGGTTTCAACTTTATTTCTCAGAGAGAGTAGGTAGTAATCAGCTTTAGGGCTTCTTGCAGGTATGCTTGGGACTTTGGTAAGTTAAGATGGTGATTTGGGAAAATCAGCAGAACAAAATACTGCCATTTTGCTTCCAGATCCTGCCCTCTCTGAGTAGCAGCTTGCCCTTAACAAAATAATTTAATGTACCAGTGTTTTACCTCGGTGACTGTAAAATATGTATTTGATATTTCTAGGAACTGCCAGGACAGTCAGTGATGTATAAAATAATAGAAAAAACATCATAATGTGTTAGTTCAAAGAAGGATCCCTAAACTCTGTATTTTGTCTCTGGTTGTGCCCAAGCACATGCGAAAACTCATTATCTGTCCTTGGCCATGCTCTGGCTTTGGCCCCAACATCTTCAACTTCTAGGTTCCCATAGAATTCTGTCATTAACTAATTTATTAAGCTCTTTTCTGCTCTCTTTTTTTTCCCAGTGTTTGAAAAGAGTGAGTTTAGAATACATACAATTTACAATTTCTTGACTAAAAGAATTCTTTTCGTTTGAGCCTAAATTTCCTTCCTCTAAAAACCAAATCAAATCTTCTACACAGCTGAGCCATTGAGGTGATGCAGATTTGCTAAGTCTTGCATCTAGACTTAACTTTGAGCACCATGGGACAAAGCTAGAGGCAGAGAAGCAGAGGTCCTACATTCAACTTAGCAGGAAAGCCACATTAAGAGAAGAAATAGGGAATGGGAGTAAGCTAGAATAGGCGTAGCTCTGAAGCCAGACTCCCTAGACTAGAAAGGCAGTGAAGAAAAGTTGGTTAACAAAGTCAAAGGTTGCCAAGAGATGCCACAGGATAAAAAAGAAGGGCAATCACTGCAGAATGGTGAGGACAGAAGCCATATCTCAGAAACACCAAGAAAAGTTAATGAGGATAGAAGGTTGCGTGTAGTTTGCCACATTTGCAGTTTTTAATGGTACAAAGATGAATAAAAAATTATCCGCACTCTGGTTATATTAATGTCCGTCCATATCTATGACTTGAATATGAGGGAGCATGGCAGTGGATTCTGTGGCAAATCATTGGCAAATCAGCCATGGCTCTGCCTATGAAATAATCCATGACAGGCTTAGGTTTTGAAAAGTTTATGTGAGATGGGTGCCGAAAGAACTCATGAAGACCATAAACAGAAACGTTTAGACATCTGCAAACAAAATTTGGACCGATATATGAAGGAAGGTAAAAATTTCTTTAAAAAAAATTGTTACTGGTGATAAAACATGGATTCATCACTATGAGCCTGAGAGTAAACAGCAGAGTACGGAATGGAACCATCCTCAATTGCCGACCAAGACAAAGTTCAAAAGTCAACCATCAGCTGGAAAATTGATGCTCACAATGTTGTGAGAGTCTCAGGGCCAGTGTGGAACAATATCAAGAAAAAGATTCAGTAATCAGTAGTGTTCATTACAGTGAGATACTTATGGCAGAACTGAAGCCTAAACTTTGGATTAAACCCAGAGGACTGCAACCCAAGGGCATTGTGATCTTGCATGACAATGCACGTTCACACACCTCTGCCCACATGTTGACACTCTGCAAAAACTTTGTTTTAAGGTGTTAAAGTATCCTCCCTATACTCCTGATCTTGCTTCATCAGACTTTCAACTGTTTGGTCCCCTGAAAGCAGCCCTTTGAGTATGAAGATTCACCTCGGATGAAGAAGTGAAGACAATGGTACATTCATGGCTCACAGCTCAGTCTAAAACATTTTTAAATAAGGGAATCCAAAAGCTTGTTGACAGATGGACAAAGTGTATTGAAAAGCAAGGAGATTATGTCGAAAAATGATGTATTTATCTTTTCTAAAAGTTGATTAAAATAAATTATATAGTCAGAGTGCAGATAATTTTTTACTCATCTTCATAAATGTGAGATGAGTAAGTAGTACAAGGGGAATTGTATGCCAAGTAAAGACTTTTCTCGGCCTTGGTGTATAGGCTATGGGTAACTCCTGAAGAAAAAGAATATGGAAATCGCAATGTGCCTGTGGAGCTCCCCACATTCTTATCTTGATTTAATCTTACACATGACTTCTTTTTAGATATCAAAGTTATCTGAAGAATATTTCATTCTGCAGAAAAAACGGAATGAAATGATTTTGTCCCAGCAACTGAAGCCTCTTAATCTGGATGTTTCTCCCCATCAGCCAAGTAATAGATGGGTTTCTTCTCATCCGTGCCTCTCAGGTAAAATTCAGTAGAGTTAGAGCTTCCTAAACGAAAAGGAAATATCAAATGCTTTATTTTATTTCTTCATTAGTTTCCCACCTTCATTCTGTGGTAGGTTTGAGGTGACACTGTTCTTGGGAGAGAACCTTCATCTCTTCCCATTTCTTATAAGCTGTTACCCACTTTTCCAGAATATTCTACACACCTCCTACTTTCTCTGACTTTAGTCTTTTCCCCTTCATCATCTTCTCTCTTTTTCTTTTTCTTATGTACATTTTTACTAAAACTTGGCATAAGAAACTAGAAGGAAACAGAAAGATGTGGAATAGAGAGGACTTCATGGTGTAGGTTTTACTAAGGGAGCAAACTTCTATTTCTTTTGTGACAGAAATCTTGACTACAAACTGTGGAAAATCCAAATCTCAGATCAGCTGTACAAATCCAGATGTGTAAGAAATACCATGCTATTTTTGTGAAAAAAATCAACCTAAGGCACATTCTGCCCTCATTCTTCTCCCCGACCTGGGGAGGATTTGGCTTCAGAAATTATTGGGCTTCACCCTCCCCAAGGTATAAAAGGCCTCAGGGTCTTATATATGATCAAATACCAGGCAGATCTTTCCCAGGCAGGTGGCTGTTGGGACGCCTAGCATACTAGCTGGCCTTCATATTCTCCTTGAGTCTGAGACTCTCTTACTCCTGGGAACCTCCCCATCACACATCTGAAGCCTTATTACCCTTCTAGGCACCCCCTCACCATTCAGAAGTCACACTGTGTTGGGTCTGGTAACTTCTGTCTGAGAGACTTATTCTCCTTGCTTTTTATCAGGCCTTCCATTCTTCCTACCCACTCCAGGACACCTGGCATTTTCTCTACAGTGAGTTTAAAACCAGTTGCCAACTCATGGTGACCCTGTGTGTACCAAAGGAAAACTGTGCTCCCTAGGGTTTTCCAGTGCTTGGGTTTTCAGTAGATCACCAGGCCTTTTTTCCCAGAGGCCTCTGGATGAACTGGAATCCGCTAAATATATCTTTCATTTAGCAGCCCAACAACAACAAAAACAGTAAGAGCTGCTAACTTCACACAGCCTGTGATTTCTACTCTACCAAAAAAAAAAAATCCCTGAGGTAAGAAAATACTAAGATGTATACTTGGATTTTTGCCTAATGTGGGAAAAAGAGAAAATATCTTAATGCTTCAATGAATTATCCTGCCACATTATGTCAAGTCAAAATGGTGATGAATGGTGATGAAGCTTTAAAAAAGAGAGAAAGAAAGAGAGCAAAAATCGCCTCTCCAGCCCTCCTTACCTACTGCTGCTCCTTGCCTCTGCTCCAGAACCTCTTTTTGTAAGAAAAGGGCTTAACAAGTCAGTCAGAGCCAGAGGAAGGCCCATTAGTTTCACTGATGCCAGGGCATGTGCCCAGAGGGAATGCTGAGGGACCAGAGTATAACAGGAATATGCCAGCCTTCTCCTTCTACTGGTGGTTGTGGGGCCATTTAGTGGTGTTGGGAAATCAGGCTGTATCCAAATGTGAGCAGCTCACCCCAGTCCACCGCAGGGAAAGGAGAGGTGAGTAAGAGGCAGCATCGTAGACAGTGGTGGTGTTCTTAAGTGCCATCAAGTCAATTCTGACTCTTAGCAACCCTGGATAGAATTTCCAAGGAACAGCTGATGGGTTTGAACTGCCAACCTTGCTATTAGCAGTCCTTTGCGTATCCTACAGCACCATACCAGGAAACTGCTGATGTATTGCCATGACTTCATTTTGAACATCTCAGGGACCTTGAGTAGGCTTGAATTTTACTAGAAAGTCAGATTAGTTGACTGTTTTTTTTTAAAGCTGCCATTTGTTTTTGTGGGTATAAGAAGAATATCACAAATCAATTTATAGTTTGCATGGATAGGATTATAGCTCTACCATTTCTATACCGTATAGGATTTACAGGGGTTATCTTTTTTTGAATTGCCCCATGTGCCTGAGATTAGCTAAGAAAATGACTAAGAAGTGTCCTGAGGAAGCAAAAGACACAGAGATCTGAGTGGATCCAACCAAGGAGTAGGAGAGGACATCAGGAGACACACTAGAGAAGACCAGAGATTAGACAGGTCCATTTATTCTCAACAGGATACCACCCAAAAGCCAAGAGTGGTTATAGGGCAGATGGCTGCACCCCATAATGCCTATGAAGCTGTGAAGTCAGCCCACACACAACTTATATGTGACCCTAGGAGACAAAGGGAAAGTCAGAAACCTAAAGTGAGTGAGTTTACTCAAAAGACAGTAAAAAAAAAATAAGAAGCAACTGAGTTTCACTAGGATTCCGTAAAAATAATAAAAATAGAAATGAATACTAAGAGGCAAAAATTAAGTCTGGTTTTAGAAAAATTAATCTTTGTACATCTGAATTGTTGTTGTTAAGTGTCTTCAAGTCAATACTGACTCATAGTGACCCTGTATAGAATTTCCAAAAGCAGCTAGTGAGTTTCAATCAGGGACCTTTGGGTTTTAATAATTGAGTGCTTATCTTACAGTGCCACACAGGACTCCTGATTTGACTTGGAGCCTGTGAAAATTTAACCTTGCTGGAGACAATAGGTTTTTTAAAAAATCATTGCAATTGCATTATAAGAACAGAATTTGATAGAGTGAAGGGAAGTGTGGAAACCCAGAAAGACAAAATGGTGGTTTGTATGAGATGGTAGGTAACAGAAAAAGTACACAATTTCAAGAGATGCTTAGTCAGTATACTGCAAAGTATTTGGTAATTGATTGCACCCGATTCTAACATGACCATCTGGGTGGATGTTGGTGCCATTACCTGAGATGTTGTTGTTGTTGGGTGCCATTGAGTCGGTGCCAACTCATAACAATACTGTACACAACAGGACAAAACACTGCTGGGTCCTGTACCAACATCACAATCTATGCTATGTTTGAGCCCATTGCTGTTGCCACTGTGCCAATTGATCTAGTTGGGGGTCTTCCTCTTTTGCTCCAATCCTCCACTTTACCAAACATGATATTCTTCTCCAGGGACTGGTCCTTCCTGATAATATGTCCCAAGTATGAGAGATGAAGTCTAGCCATCCTGGCTTCTAAAAGCATTCTGGCTGTACTTCTTCCAGCACAAATTGGTTTGTTCTTTTGGCAGTCCATGGTACTTTGAATATTCTCCTCCAATACCATTGCTCAAATACATCAATATTACTATGGTCTTCTGTATTCACTGTCCAACTTTCCCATGCATAAAAGGTTATTGAAAATACCATGGCTTGGGTCAGGCACACCTTAATCCTCAAAATGACATTTTTGCTCATGAACACTTTAAAGAGGTCTTGTACAGCAGATTTGTCTAATGCAGTATGTCATTTAGTTGCTTGACTGCTGTTTCCATGAGTATAGATGGTTGATCCAAGCAAAATGAAGTCTTTGACAACTTCTATCTTCTCTTCATTCATATAGATGTTGTTTATTTGTCCAATACTGAGGATTTTAGTTTTCTTTACATTGAAATGCAATCCATACCAAAGACCATGGTCTTTGATCTTCATCAGTAAATATTTTAAGTTCTCTTCACTTGCAAAAAACAAACTAGTATCATCTGCATATTACAGGCTGTTAATGAGTCTTCCTCTAATCCTGATGCCACATTTTCTTCATATAATCCAGCTTCTGGGATTATTTGCTCAGCATACAGTTAAAATAAGTAGGGTAAATGAATAAAACCCTGACACATACCTTTGCTAACCATTCAGTGTTCATTGGTTCTGTTCAAACAACTGCCTCTTGTTCTATGTACAGGTTTCTAATGAGCACAATTAAGTGTTC